AAGAGGACTAGAACCAGCAACTATATTCATGAGGATCCGAATTCCTTTAAAACTCCACCATGGCAAAAGTAACCCAGAGACATCAGCCTACATAGCTGCCCAGTGGCTACATTCAGATCAAACACTTAGCACGGAGATGTCAGCCTACACAGTTACCTGGCCCTTACATTCAGAATCAACACTTAACAGACCAAATTTGAACCACCTTGCCAAATCATCGGTTTCGGTGCTAATCAAACATTACAGAGAAGCTTCATTCTGTGGAATGGAAAGCTTGTCTACCCTCCACAGTCCACCAGCATGGACTGCAAGCATTTCTCTTTCATACTGCTTTCTGCCAAGCAATGCTCACCTTCAAAGCCAAATGCCTTCCTTGAACCTAATTAAAATGAAGAAACTTTTAATAGCTTCCATAACTCTGAAGAGCTGTGCTCAGCTCTACCCGTCTTTCTCTCCTGACAGTCTCCCTTTAAACACAGAAAAATCCAGCCCAGCTGAAAACCAGATCCTCTGAATGCTAGGAGTGAGATGCTGGCCAGCCTAACCTACAAAGACAGTGCATGAGTAATGAGAAACCCTTAACCAAAACCTTCGAAAACGAAAGCCCCCAGACACACCACACACACTCTTCCTCAACCCTCACATACACTTCCCTGCCAGCTCCCGGAATTTCAGTGATCCCTGAAACTGCGGTAGTTAAGTTCATGTCAATGTCAACCAGAGAAGAGACGAGAGAGAGAAAAAAATCACTAACTTGGAAGGTTATCTAGGACAAATTGTCTTTTACTGCCCGACTCTTTCCACTCCAGCTTGCTTGACCTAATACTAATATTTAAATGAAGCAACAGCCAAGGGCTGTTCCCTGGGGGCTCCTCTAGGAACCCAAGGCACAGACACCGGGCAGAATGCCGCCCCCGCCCCGGAAGAAAAGGGGACACTGTGTCTCCTGGCTACATCACCCCTCCCCATGCAGTCACAGCTCCAATGGGCTCCACACAAACCCGTCCAACTATTCTTGGATCAACTCACATCCCTGGATCACATCTGGCTGCTCCCCTCTTCCTCGCCCGCCCGGTGTCCTGGCCACCCCACCCCCCATCCACCAGAGCTGCCAGGGAAGGGCTGAGCAAGCACACAAACCCACCCACCTGGGCTGGGTCTTGAAGACCCAGGCTGGTGCGCGGCACCCCAGCTCCACGGCAAGCTTCGGCACAGATGTTTTCGGCCTGCTCTCCTCCCCTCCAGCCGATCTGATCAGCGAGGCGCGACCCAGGGCAGTACCGCAAGGTCTCCCTAAGTCACCTCTGCGGCCCGCCCCTGGTTGGGCAGCAGCGCCCGCCTTCCCGGCGGCTGTTGAGGTAGGGGAGAGGCGCGGCCGGTGGCCCAGGACTCTGTCGCTTGGCCACAGAGGTCGGCTCTGCCCCTCGCCCTGGCCGCTGGGCTCAGCCTCAGACCCGCCCTCCAGGGCTCACCCGCCCGCAGAGTCCCAGCCAGTGGAGCTGAGCCGAGCGAGCGGGCGGGCGGCGTGGCCTGCAGCCTGCAGCGGGCGGTTCCCTTCTTCGTGGCTGTGGTCTCGGTCCCTCCTCCCCAGCGTGGCGGCTCCGGGAAGCTCAGGTAGGGACTGCCGCCGGGGAGAGCCTGCCCGCAGCCTCCAAGCCGCCGAGATTCTCCAAGGAGAAGTAAGGGAACTGCTCCTAGTGTGCAGCGTGAGCAGCGCACACAGGCTCCTGCAAGGTCCTAGAGTGGCCTTGTGCTCAAGCCCTCTCCTTGAGAACTTTTAAACGGCCAGCACGCTGCTAAGAGCTGAGGAAACTCAGGAAGGCAAATGGAATGCTCTTCTTGCAGTCTTGGCTTCTACAGAAGGGCTTACTATCCCTAAAGCTGAGCCACTGAGTATGAGCTGGGGCTGAGCAAAGAGCCCGACACTATGCCCTGCTGACCGACACCCCTGAGAGCCGGCTTTGAAGGGCAGACAAGGACGGCAGGGGCAGGCAGTGCCCCAGACAAATACACACTTCTGACACGCTCATGAGACTTCTGGGTAACTAGGAGGCTCCAGTGGAGAAACAAAAGAAACTAATTTCTACAATGTACACACCTGTCCTCCACTTCGGAGAATACTTTACTGAGCCGAGCAGCGATAAACAAAATTGTATTTATTTAACAAGTCACAGAGTACCTCGTGTTCCTTTAGATCGGTGGCCAGTCTATTTGCAGGGCACACAGGGCTCACTCAGAAACCTTGGAATCCATGTCTGGAAAGTGTCAGAGTGCCTTTGAAAATTCTAGACTGATATCCAAGCACTCTTGTACTTAGAAAAGCCACACTTGGCAGAGAAGGGGAGGCCCTGGCTACAGAATCCTTCCCCTTTGGGCGCAAAGATTTAAAAAAAGAATTCAGCTTACAGAAGAGGTCCTCAGCACAGCAGGGAAACAAGAAAAGTGACTTTGTCTCAGAAGGCAGCTCACAAGGCTCCTGACATGGGGGAGAGAGGGGCGCTGTGTTGACCACAGGAACCTGCCTTTCCCTGTCTCAGTTTTCAGATCTGGAAGTGGAATTCCCAAACAGGTATTAATTTGCTTGAGGCTGAAGCAGCAGAGTTCAGATAGAGACCGATGACCCAAAAGCCACGCTCCTTCATCTGTACAGCCACTGTGTAATCATTCAGATACCTACTAACTACCCACAGCACGCCACACCCCATGCCACAGGTCTAAGTAAGAGCGCTAGTGTGGTATGTACACCCAATGGTACAACCAATGCAATGTGGAGGACAACAAGAAGTCCTGGAGCAGGAGGAGCATCTAACCTGGTCTTGAAGGGTGGAGACTGGGATCAGGAAGTGGCAGTTATCCCTAGCGCTATCCTGAGAACCTTACCAGAGCAGCCATGGAGAAATGTCCCCTGGGATGGAGAAAGGGGGATGTGAGACTGACAGAATTTAGTCAAAACGGGACGAAGAAGAAGGGTCAACTAGGGACAGTTCCCATGGTGACAACGGTAACTCAGTGGTAATTCTGAGTTGGATAAAGAATGCAGTTTTAGACGAACTGGTCTTGAAATACCTCTTATAGAAACACATCAAGTGTTCAAAAGCCAGCTGGCATACTGATTCAGAGCACAGAAAATGTCTAAGGTAGGAATCTAAATAGTTGTGTATTTCTAAGTGAAAGGAGTAGGTACAACTAATCATCCAGGAAGGATGCTATAGAAAGACCACCCACAAACTACTAATATTTAAGGCACGGCAGGAGAAGTAATACCTCAGAAGGTGAATACGCAAGGGACAGAGAAGTCATAAAGGACAAGGAAGCCAAAAAAGAGATGTACCATGGGGGCCACAGAATATTTTAAAAAACAGTAAGTAGCAAAATGTCACGTCCTTCAGAAAGCAAGCAAGATAATTTTCAAATGTCCTCTAAGCAGGCTTAAGTGCACACAATCTGTAATCCCAGCACTAGGGAGGTAGGGGCCAGAGGATCAAGAGTTCAAGGTTATCCTTGGCTACAAAGTGAGTTTACATGAGCGCGCCTGTCTGGAACAGCGACGACAAACATGTGCTCTCATTTAACAAGGAGACACTAAGCACCACGTCTGAGGCGCAGCAGAAGAACCTGGAAGGAGAAGTGTCACGTTTCAGGAATGGACTGGAAAGGGATGCAGAGACAATTCTCTATGAATAAGAGAAGGAAGAAAGGAAGGTGCGCATGCCCACACACGCTGCAGGGAGGATGGTATGGACTCCTGGAGTGTGCCCTGACTTCCTAGTGGGGAGGGGCGGTGCTGGAGCATCTGTCCTCACCATCAGCAGAGGACAAGAGCAGGGGGGCACAAAAGGATGAGGTGCTGACGGAAAGCAAGCACAGGAAGTCAGATGAACATCATCAGAGGTCACACCCTGGAAGAGTGGCAACCCACACAATCACGTGATTTCCCTTCAAAGGGATCAGTGTCCTATCCAGAGGAGCAGCACAGACTGGACACCTTTCAGATGGTCCAGTCTGGTATCTGGATCTTTCCATTACACCATCATCACCAGCCATACATCTGGGTCACCTCTCCTCAGCAGCAGGAGGCTTAACATGAAAGTATGCAATGCTTATAAGTGAGCTTCTAGCAACTTCAGACAGGCAGGTTCCTGACTTGGAAAAACTGGTTTGACTAAGCACACAGGAACACCCAAACAAGGGAATGCCAATGATGGCTCCCATGTCTCACTGTACCACACCAGGACCTGGTGAGAAAAACCATAGAAAAAATTTATAAAACAAATTTCTAGCTTTTTGTTGCTGTTGTTTTGTTTTTTGTTTTTCGAGACAGGGTTTGTTTCTCTGTGTAGTTTTGCACGTTTCCTGGATCTTACTCTGTAGACCAGGCTGGCTTGAATTCACAGAGATCCGCCTGCCTCTGCCTCCGAGTGCTGGGATTAAAGGCGTGCGCCACCACCGCCGGAGAAATTTCTAGCTTTTTGAGAAAGTCTCAGACCAAGTTAGAGGGAGAAAATCACCACCACCACAGCATCACTATTTCCATTGTAAAGATCAACAAATGGGGTTGGGGAAACCTCAGACAGCGATGTACTTGCCTTGCACGCTCCAAGAGAACCTGAGTGGAAAAATTGGGCCTAATGGCTCACACTTGTAACCCTAGAGGGCACAGGACACAGGTGGACCCCAGGGTGTGCCAGCCAGCCTAGCCTACTTGGCAAATTCCAGGCCAATGACAGCCTTGTTCAAAACACAAGGTGGGTGGTGTCAGAGGAACAACAGCCAAAGCTCTCCTCAGGCCTCCCAACCTCCCACCCCACCCCCGAGCACACAACACACGCAAGTGCACACACACACCAAATTTTTCAGCTTACTTGGGAATATTATCATTTTCTCAAACAGTTTTTATTTTTTATTTACTTACTTAACTTATTTATTTATTTACTTACGTTTTTTCGAGACAGTGTTTCTCTGTGTAGCTTTGGAGCCTTTCCTAGACCTCACTCTGTAGTCCAGGCTGGCCTCGAACTCACAGAGATTCACCTGCCTCTGCCTCCCGAGTGCTAGAATTAAAGGTGTGCGCCCACCACCGCCCGGCTCAGTTTTTGTTTTTTGTTTTAATAAATAAAACTGTCTGCAGTAATACTTCATTTATCTACAGGTTATAATGAAAACTGTAGCCATGTAGCTCACATGAGCATTCCCCAAAAAAACAAAAGCAGGCACAAATTACAGAAACAGAAGACATAAGACTCACGCACAAAGGTCCACGAACACTGAAACTGCCTTAGTTCCCATATCAAGCCAGCCTACTCAATCAAGAGTGTGATTTTACCAAGTCTGGTACTCTGCTTTCCTCACAAATAAACAGTATTAGACCAAGTAAATCAAAAAGGGTCAGTATTCCACTGCTAAATGCAAGCACATAGCTATTATAAAATCCAATTTAAAGGCATGATTAGACTGTTCTCTTTAGCACAATCCTGTGAATATTTTCTTAAAAGTATCTCTGTAACAAGGCAAAGAGTAATGGCTGACATGCAAAGAGACAATCTCATGACACCTAAAATATAAAACTGTTTTAAATTTTTACATTCTAAAATCAGTGTGTGGGCTGGAGTGTGGCAGAATGTAGAATGCTTGCCTAGCATGCACAAGGCCCTGGGTTCTACCTCTAGCACTGCAGAAAACAACAATCAAAGCAAGGGAACATCTTTTAGAATAACTGCCAAGTAAACAGACTAGAATAAGAACAGGTTTGTGTTGCTAAGGGCTCAGCAGCTCACAGCCATCCCAGGGTGTTCTGAAGCAGGTACAAAAGAGGTGTTTGGGGATGGAGAGATGGCTCAGAGGTTAAGAGCACTGGCTGTTCTTCCAGAGGTCCTGAGTTCAATTCCCAGCACCCACATGGTGGCTCACAACCATCTATAATGAGATCTGGTGCCCTCTTCTGGCCTGCAGACATACATGCTATATACATAATAAATAAATAAATCTAAAAAAATAAATAAAAAAAAGAGGTGTTTGGTGTTTTCAGTTGGCCACCACATTGACAAGGAGGATGTATTAAAAAACAAGACATTAGGCCGGGTGGTGGTGGTGGTGGCGGCAGCGGCGCCGCACGCCTTTAATCCCAGCACTCGGGAGACAGAGCCAGGTGGATCTCTATGAGTTCGTGGCCAGCCTGGGCTACCAAGTGAGTTCCAGGAAAAGGTGCAAAGCTACAGAGAAACCCTGTCTCAAAAAACCAAAAAACAAAACAAAGCAAAAAAACCAAGAGATTAAGCAGCTAAGCTAGGAATGAGACACAAGTCTGCATGTCTTCAAAATTTATGATTGCTCTTCTAACAGAAGCTCCAGATAGTAGAAATGCAATTCTAGAAAAGACATTACAGAACATAATCATGCCACTCTGATCTCGATTAGGCTACTCCATCCCTATGCTGAGATTCTACTGAATTTGAAAGACAAACTTCAAGTCTGGCGTAGTGGTTCCTGCTTGTAATACCAGCACTCTGGAAGCATTGAGCGTTCAAGGTCAGCTATGGCTGTGTACTGAAAACTTGTCTTAAGATGATGATGATGATGACGGGGACTGGAGAGATGGCTCAGAGGTTAAGAGCACTGGCTGCTCTTCCAGAGGTCCTGAGTTCAATTCCCAGCATCCACATGGTGGCTCACAACCATCTGTAATGAGATTTGGTACCCTCTTCTGTATACATAATAAATAAATCTTTTAAACAAATCTTAAATAAAAAAAAAGATGACGATGATGAGGATGATGATAAAGGAAGAAATAAAAACTTCATAGACACTACTTATCATTCACTTTTCATTTCTCCCAAAAAATCCAGGCATTTTACTGTATATTTCTGAATGCTGTCTTAAAAGTACACTGAAGTCTGGAGCATTAAATACCAGCTACTAAGTGAGAAGCTGCCCATGCATATGGGCATACATTCCCTGTGTAACTCTGCACCTGGAGGCAACTGGTCCTGTATATTTAGACATTTCACTTTACAGAAACCCATCACATACCTGGCTGAAGACTGAAAATGAAACCAGGCCTGCTACACTTTCAGCCGAGGGTGGGCTCCTGACAACTTCTGTGTGTCTCCTTTACATGAGACATCAAAGCCAAGGGCACTGTCACACACTGCTACTTACATGCAAGTGACGAGAATGGGAACAAACAGAATCATCCCAAGTGTAGGGAAATCGTTTTTGTTTTTGTTTTGTTTTTCTTTTCTTGTGGGGGTTGGTGAACAGTTTCACTATGCTGCCCAGAGTGTTCTCAAACCCAGCACATGGTCCAGGCTATCTTTGAACTCATGGTGATTCTCCTGCCTTAGCCCAAGTGCTGAGATTACAGGCATGTGCCACTCCACACTCGGCATTCAAACACAGTCTCCTTAGACAATGCTGCCTTTGCTCAAAGCAAGACAAAGCCATGCTAAAGACCCAGAGAGGCAGTATATCACGGGATGTTATGTAAAATCTTACAGTTACAACTGTAGGTTTTTATTCACAACTCAGTGCTCTCCAGCCACCGGGCATTCTGCTTATGCTACTGCATTTAATCTTCCTGGCAAACTTTAGAGTCTAAAAGAATTTAATAGTCTCAGCACCAAGGTGAATACTTTTGTCTATCTAGATTGATTTTCAGTAGGAGATGGGTTATATACTGTTTTATTAAGCAGATGTTTTAAAAATTAAAACACATGTGTTTTCCAGAAATTAAACACACACCAACCTAACTATTGTTCAGCCTTAAAAATCATAATTCCCTAGAACAAACAGGATCTGAACATTCATTAGGTACCACATGAGAAATGAGAGACTTGGTTTACATCACGCTAAATACTGTATGAGGTCAGTACTATAATTTGTTGATTCCAAAGTTATGATCCCAGTTCAGATCTACTTAGAACACTATATCATCCCTCATTTAAACAAACTAGTATATGAAATCTGCAAGCCACCACAAACAGAAATGCTGAGAAGCGATGTTTTTAGAAAAATTGACATTTAATCATTAAAAGGCATGATGGTGTGAAGGTTGAGGACAGTAGGCGAGGCATGTTTGCTCTAGGTTGTAAAAAGACAGCATCTTGTGGGTTGTGTCTTGCCCTGGGTGACTCTATTTTTTGCAACAGCATTTGCCCTATTTCGGGTGAAAGTGCTAATGCAGAATGACTTTATCTGGTTTGTGCAGGTAAACAACTGCCATCTGTACAGCACAAACCATGGCGCAGACCAACAGCTAGCTTATTCACACCAAGTAAAACATCACCTTCAAACTTAGCCAAGGAAAATGTGGGCATGGGGGCATGCCAAAGCCGAATCAGAAAACCAGGTCCAAGGACACACCACACACACAGCAGACAAACGAAGGCCGAAACCCCCAACATGTAGGAGAAGGAAGCCCCCCCCCCCACACACACACACACACGGGAACGTGGCACACACCTGACAAAACCATCAGGCGCACAGTATTCACCTGCAGTGAACTTCGGCTCTCTCCCTAAAAGGCAGATTACTGCACTTATCTGACACACCTGAACTGCCATTTGTCTAGACTTGGACTGACCCCTTGAATCAGCTCTGCCTGAACAGGCTCTGCCCGTCTCCACCACATAAGCTTTGTGACCCGACTCCTAACTCCCTGCCTTGGTCTCTGTCCCTGCCAGCTCTCCAGTCCTGCCTTCTAGACCCTCTGCAGCCTTCCGACTTCCTCGCCATTCAGTACCCTGTATCTCCTTACTTTTTGTTTGCTTGTTTGTTTGTTTTTGTTTTTCAAGACAGGGTTCTCTGTGTACTTTTGGTGCCCGTCCTAGATTTTGCTCTGTAGACCAGGCTGGTCTTGAATTCACAGAGATCCACCTGGCTCTGCCTCCTGAGTGCTGGTGCTGGCATTAAAGGTGTGCGCCACCGCCGCCCAGCCACATGTATGATCTTTAGACTTACAGTTAGAATAAAAGAATCTATGACTACCAATAACAGTCTATCAAGCAAAATCAGAAGTATGGTAAATTACAATCAAGAAAATTGACTTAGCTTATAGATGCACTTTTATTAGAAGTTATAAAGCATTTTTTAATTATTTTAAATTATGTGTATATGGGGGATTAGAGGGGAGATGTGCACCTGAATGCAGTGGCCAGAGTCTGGAAGAGGGCCTTGGATCTCCTGGAGCTGGAGTTACAGGCAGTGTGAGCCAAGCAATTTAGGTTCTGGGAACCTAACTTGGGTCCTTTGTAAGAGTGGCAAGTGCTCCTAACAACTGAGCTCTCTCGTCAGCCTTGGGAACACTACTGTTCAATCAATCCTGACACTATGGAAAGAGAAACACATACATGTCTATAACAAAGCACATATACACTACTAGTACATAGCAGTGTGGTGCACAATAGTGTGGAGGTCGAGGCAGGAGGATCATGAATTTGAGGCCAACCAGGGCTACCATGCCTATCTGAAAAAGAGGCTAATGATAATAAAATGCTTAATGCACAGTTAAGGTTTCCTATGGCTGTGACATAATTCTTTTAAAGACTGTTTTCAATGAAGTCATACTAATGTTTTCCTTTTTTCTACATAAGAATATCATATATGAGATTTGTAACACACATACAAAGGCAGAATTTTTAAATTTGTATATGAATTTGTCAGGCTTCTGCTTTACCTAGGGGAGAACAAAATGTCCAATCTGCATAAAAAAGGAAAAAAAAACATAAAACCAGATGAATGTTTCTGATTTTATCAAACCCAATTTCTGACCAAAAATGCAAGTAAATTATAACAAAAAGAAATTTGTTATCTTAATTCTAAAAAAAAGGTCAAACATATATCTATAGACAATAAAATGAAATGGAAATTTAAAAAAACAGACAAGTAAGAAAAATAGCAGTTCAGACGACCAAAAAGACATTTTACAACATGTTAATCCCTGGAAAAAGAATAATGAATGGACATGCACTGTGCTCTTACTCAAATCTGGAAATCCAATGGCATACTGTTGAACAGGAAAGCAGGAAAGGAAGGGTCACGGTGGAGTTCAGTTCAGAGAGGCCATCTAACAATAGCCCGGTTCTAGATGTCAGGTGTTCTGGACCCTCACACGCAGAGGTTTGTCGAGGCTACTCTCCCACCCCCTCACTGAAGTGTCACACCACCGTGGGTAATCAGTGTTACACGTGTTCACTAAGTATGGCTGCATCCATACACCCCAAAGACGTAAACAGCGGTGATTTCACAACCGCCCTATCTGATCAAGAATGAGTAAGTTCTGAATTGTGATGGAAAATGAAGTTTTCATTTCCTTTGCTAATACTAATTTTGTACTACTTTTGAATAGCTTGATAGCTTATTAGATAGTAGGCATGTGACACGCAAGCAATTGCTTTTAAAAATTCAGTTCTGAATGACCTACCCCTTCTTGTTTAGTGAAGAGGTTGAGGCAGTCACTCAACGCCACGCACGTCTCTCTGGAAGCTTCGGAGACCACTTCGGCTTTCTGCAGAAATGATGGCAGCATGTCTACAAGCAAACACAAGTGGGTGGGTACACACAGTGGGTGAGGTGTGAAGGAACGCTGACGTGAAACCCGAAGCACTCTGTCCACTACCACACGTGTCCTCCCTGCTGTGTGGACAGGGACATCAGTGTGTCCTTCCCACTGCAGGTCAGCAGCTGCTGCCATGGCATGCATCGGTTAGGACCAGAGAAGGACAAGGCCGCTGAAGGACAAGGTCTGCCACCCCAGAAGGACAGCTGAGACCTTGCAAAGCCCACAGGGACGGACAGTCTTGGATGCTTAAGGAAAGCAGCCAAGAGGGCAGGAAGTGCTGCTTCTAAACACCGTGTTTCCCTTCATGACAGCCCCTGCTGGGTAAGTAATTTTATTCAAAAGCGAAGTGCTAAAGAGAGACAAAACTAATCTGTGGCTGACATGGAGGCGAACATATCTGGAGGCGGCATTAATTCAACTTCCTCTAGCTCTCATTTGGAAAAGGGTTTGGCATAAATGGATATTTGTACTTTCAAAACTGTATCCCCTTTGGAAGCCCACTGCCTGTCCATATGCTTGGGCTGGGGACAAAGAAGAAGATGACAGTACCAGACCCTGACTGTCAGGCAGGACAGAGCTTAACCATTTACCCACCAAAAAAAAAAAAAAAAAAAAAAAAAAAGGAAAGAAAAAAAAAAAAAAGAAAGATGGAAGGAAGGAAGGAAGGAAAAAAGGGAGAAAAAAGAGAACAAGAACAATATAGGTGAGAGAAAGCTGAAAAACAGACATTT